AAAATTCACGAAAAAAAAAGAGATTACTAAAGAATCTATATTTTTTCTGAAGTTTTTGAACCGACATATATTACAGCTTATGAATGATGTTTTCTTATCGTATTAATAACTAACGGTGACGTTATTTATCTAATTTATTTTTTATCTCAATCAACAGATACATAAGGCAATCCAATTTTTGTATTGATGTAGATCATAAGAAGTATCCAATCGAAACATTTGCCAGTAATTTGTTTTTAAGTATTATACCTATTATCTTAACAATAATAATGGGCAAACTTATTATTATGGTAGTCTTTGTGCTCGTATTTCTTGCTGTGTTGTTCAATTTAACCATAGGTAACTATTTCATTATTATTAAAGTCTCGTCCATATTGGTTATTTGTAAAGTGGTTTTTAAGAACAGTAGGAATGTTATACAGCAAAAGTTGGCTTTGAAAATGACGACCGATGACATTCTCATATAATTTTATATATAAAATGACAGCGATCTTCATTTCATAGTCATCGCTGACGCTGTTTTTTTTTTCGGTCATATTGTATAATAAAAAGCCGGATTTTCTAGTGAATTATTTCTACTGATTAAATAAATATGTAATAATATTAAACAATTTGATAAAAATTATATTTTATATTGTGTTTTTTAGCAAAAAGAACCTGCATAAATTATAGTTCATTGAAACACCAGTTGAAAGAAAAATCTACTATTACCGGCAACTTCTGTTACGATATTGAAATGGAGTAACACAGAGATTTTGAGAATAATAAAGAAGGTCTCATGGATAACAAATATTTTGCCATTTGATATTTAGTTGTGTACCTATTTTTTATTTCTTTTTTCTATATTCATGTGTTTGTTTGATTATTTGTTTATTTATTTATGTATTTATTTATTTATTTAATTATTTTTTATATTTGTAAACTTTTTAATTTTACTAATAAAAAAATGTTTTTTGTACTGTAATTTCTATTTTATAATATATAGAATATGTATGATTTTTTTGGAAGATACAAATAAATAAACCTTAGACTTAAGGTACATTCAGGTTGAGAGCGTCTAACGTCGCGTCGCGTTTGCGTCGCGTCCGCCCCATTGAACTCGAACCCCGACGCTCAGCGGACGCTAGCGCAACGCCAAACGCGACGCTGTCTGCCTGAACGGTCTAATTTAAGTTAAGTGAATTGATTTCATTTCGACACGCGGACGCGACGCAAACGCGACGCGACGCTCGGCGCTCTCAGCCTGAATGTACCTTTAGAATTACCATAGAACTTTAGAATTTATTATATTTCATTATAATGTTTAGCCTGTGTTAAATGTATAATGAGAGCATATAAATCAGCTTCACGCTTGATTAAATTGTAAGGTATGTCAACAATTTTGTACAAGTACACTCTTAAGGCGAGTCAACTTGTCAGCTGTCATTTGACTGATTCATTATCACAAACATTATTACTGAAAGACGGAAAATGGATCTGTGTTCACACATTTCATTTTGCTCGTTGAATATATTTAGATTGTCTAAAGTCTCTAGATCTTTCGTAGATCTCGTAAACATAAACATCGATACAAACTTACAAACTGAGAAGTTTACAATAATTTATATTTTAATTATTGGAAGTAATGAAAGAAATATTCTAATGTATCAAAAACGATAAAAATGTCGTAGATTGGTGACTCAGGTAGTGCTTGATACGCAGAAATAAATTCGGTGCTGATGAAATTGTATTGAAAGAATTAGTTTTCGAAGCCAATTTTGTCAATATTTCGTCAAAATTTAGAAAACCGAATGAAACAAAATAAGTTCTGACGTTAGCATTCATTTTTACGTCAAAATGAACATAAATAGAACCAAATGCTCTATATTAATGCTTTCACTTACACAGAAAGAATGAATATACTGATTATTTTCAGCAAAAATGACGTTGACTTGTGAATTTAATAATTTTTAAAAGGATATTGTGATTTTTGTTTTAATTTCCTGTGTATTTTGTATTTGCCTTATTATTTTAGTATATGTTATTAAGCTTAATCTGTGTGGTAGGATGAGCTATTTTTGAAGTTCTATTTTTTGATACATGTCTATTACATTATGGATACTTCATTTTCTTTCATTTGTTAAATAAGGGGTGTTTTCTAAAAATTACTCACTCTTGAGACAAAAAAAACAAAATTTAGTATTTTAGTATATGACATAAATCAAGGTTGAATGAGGTATTCGATTATTTTCGGTCACTTCCTTTTGATTTTTTAAGTGGTACTTTGGTACTCTAGTATTTTGGTACGTGTGTGTTTGATTTTTTAAGTGGTACTTCTGGTATTTTTTTGGCTTTATTAATTAGAAAATTACATTTTTGCTTAAAAATAGTACTTTAAATTTCAATATAAAGTGCAATAGCAGTGATCATAACGACAATTTGACTGGAAATCCCAATTAAAGATAAAGAATTATACTGTATCCGTATTGTAGCACATTTTTAGAGTTCTTCTTTATTTTTAAGATTTTGATGGTCAAACATCAACAAAATATTCCTTATGTTTGGACTAAATTTTCTCGAAAATAAAGACATAATTCAAAATTCCGTTACAATACGGAAATAGATTGAAGTTTTGTGATTACAGTGATATATAATTTATATGGTTTTCTAACAAATTGCTGGCTATTTTATGGCAAATGCTGCAGCTCCGCAAACCTTAATCAAGCCTTAATTAAAGCACGTGTGTTTGGAATTTTTGGTGTGGCTTACTACAGGATCGGGCTAAGCCTTAGGGCATATTTCTGAATTATAATATATATTTCCTTCGCTCATACGCCCGCTTTACCCGAACCCTGAGAGCGACCCGAAAGTACCTACCGCGTAATAGACTCTTTATTCAGTCGACTATATTTATATAGCAGTCATAGGCAGTCTTCTTTGCAGTCATTGGCAGTCGCTGAGCAGTAAAATTACATTTTGGCAGTACATGTACATTTTTTACCCAAGTGAGACACCTCTCGATATCAACAAGCAACAAATAATTTGGTGAAAGACCAAACATTTAGTAATTTTATCATTAATTCGGACTTTCACCGGTGTATTTTGACAAAGACAAATGAGCTCCAGAGAAAGTTGGAAACTACCGGTTATATCTACAAGCGGATATTCAGAAAATGTCACAATTCGTCCTCGATGTTTTACCTTACGTCAAGGAGAAATCGACAAAAAGAGACAATCGCGAGCATCGAATACAAATTGTGATGCTTTCTGAATATCGGCTTATTATGTTAAAACTGGCTTTTTGTCGGTTTATTTCTTTGCTTTGCTTCTGCCGCCCTCTGTGTTGGATTAGCGTTAGTGACACGCAAGGTTTGATAGCGTGAGTATGCGTGCAATTTGTGCTCCGTTACTAGGAAGTACCCTTGCGGTGTAACTGACCTCAAATCCAACAGGGATATATCCTCTATTATAGATTCGGGACAACACCGGTATTAGATCTAAGGAGAAACTAAGTTCAGGAGGTGGAAAAAATGGAAGAAACTAAGTTCAACAGGTCCTCCAGCTTCCATATCATTCAGCCGGAGACAAGCTCCTCGAGTGTGAAGGGCACGAAGTGCTAAACCTCAACCGTGGAAGGGTATATATACCCTAGTAGGAGGTAGATGCCCACTCTTCGGTGGATAGAGATCTGTTCGAACAGAAAGACCCCTACAACAGGAAGACCCTATGTATGATGAGTTATAGACTGTACGATGGGCTATAACTCAAGAACGGGGAACACAACAAATCTTTAAGGTCACTTTGATTAACCCCTCTCTTACTCGATCTCCATGCAAATATTTTCCATATTTTAATAAATAAATATGTATAGCCTATAGAGCGTTATTTTTGTTTACATTTAATAAAAAATGTTTCTTTTCAACATACACTATGAGTGCATGGTGAATGGCATGCGTGACTCCAATATTTCGGATATATGTCAAACAACTTGGTGAATATTGATATTCAGAGGATTATCTTGACAATGACCGGATTTCGGACTTTCACAGTTTTATATGCATTATTTAATTTAGTATTTTTAATAAAAGAAAAACTTATAAACAACTTATTAATTAACATAAATAAACAATTTATTAAATATACACACAATAACAGTTTCGATATACAAATGCTTATCTTAGTACTCTACAGAACATTACACTCTTAAGCCTATGTTCTAGTAAAATGTTTAAATATATCTACTACGAGTACTTTAAATTTTCCCCCTTGAATAAGGTTTGGATAAAACGAAACTCACTTAATATCAGCGTGATAATAAAATAGCCATTTATTTGATTAAGTATAAACAAAATACCGTCTAATTTGCAATGCACGGTTTTTCGCCGCGCTTCGAAACGTTATTATCAGCTAATTTGAAAATCTAAAAATACTATCAGATAGCCTTAATAAAGTGGCTATGAGAATCTACAATTTGTTTTTTAATTTTCTAAAAAGTAACGACAGGAAAAAATAAAATTGATTTTCAAAAAAATCCGTTTTTCCCAAAAAACTCAGCAATCCTTGAAATTTTTAAAACTTTTTTGATGGCATCTTGGTAAACATCCCAAGAAGCAACTTTGCCCCAATTTAACCATCGTCGTATCTATTACGGTTTCCGAGACATCAATGCTTATACCTCGAATTTGTAGCACCCTGTATATGTCGCAGGTGTATCGAATAATTCGGCTTTTTGAAATTTCCTCCTTTTGTCAAAAACGCCGGCGTTTTATAATACGCCTAGTCTTTTTGCAAAAAGCCGGATTATTCAATTTGCCTTCGACATAATATATATTATTTTAGAGAAAAAGAAGCAAATGATAATTTTTGCTGAAATTTTTGAACCCACATGACAGTTTATTTAATACAGATTATATGTTCTTATCTTATTAATAACATGACATGATTTATTTTATTTATTTTTTATCTCAATCAATAGATATATAAGTCAATCCAATTTATGCATTGATTTAGATCATAAGAAGTTCACAATCAATACACTTGCAGATAGTTTTTATTATTGATAATATTTTTATTGCCATCAAAAAAAATAATGGGTCAACTTAGTTTAATAGTATTTATTGTATCCGTATTATTGTTTATGTCATTCGATTTAATTATGGGTAAGTATTTCAAAATTATTGAAGAAAAATCAATTTCCTTATTGGTTATCAGAAAACATAGCTTTTAAATTAAGAAGTGGTAGTATAGAGCAGATGAACTTATGGCATGTCATAACATCGTTACTGAATTATAAAAATTTGTATTCTTTAAATAGTTTTATAACAATTTTATTTAATTTTGTTTTCCTTTCAGCAAATAGAATCTGCATAACCTATCAAGCGGATCGGCATCAAAACGGATATCATCAGAAAAGGGGGGGAAACTACTGTTACTCCATTGTCAATAATGATACTGTCATTTGATATTTAATGTATTAATGTTTACTTAACTTCGTTACTTATTTATTCATCCTTCATATCATCCTATTCATCCTTCATTGTCTAGTCGTATGTTTTTTTTATTTATTGTTTATACATGTATTTTTTTAATTATTAAAGTTTGGTAAAATAATATTAGTTTTTTTATTTTATTTGCCATTGTAAAACAGAGCGTATGTAGTCAAGAATGTGAACACTTATTAATTATATTTTTTATTATATTATTCACAGCGTTACATCTACTTTCTTAAATACCCTTAATTTTCTGGCCAATCGCCAGTGTGGCGAGTCTGCTGTCGTAATTCAGCAGCAAACAGACTACTGCTGACCCAAGAAGTATGGGCGCATTATTTATTTAAACAAAGGATGTTATCGTGGGGACTGTAATAAAAAGAAAAACAAAATTATCGGGCAAAACCTACAGTAAGATTAGCCATAGAAACATGACCAAAATATGACTACCCGTAGACACCCGTAGAAAAAAGGAAAAAAGAAGCAAACGAGGCACGAGGCACCATTTGCTTCCTGGTAAAGCAGCAGCTCACAATTCGCGAGCATTACCACGATATGTGATAGCAGCGAGGTATGTTGGAGCACCCCGCAGCAATTTTTCGGTGGTAATGCTCGCAAATTGCGAGCTACTGCTTTACCAGGTTGCAAATGGTGCCTCGTGCCTCGTTTGCTTTCCTTTTTTTTTCAGGATCACTAGTTCATCGTTGCTGATTCCTCCCGTTCTGATGAAGCCGGAAGGCAGAAACACTAAGTGTCTACGGGTAGTCACATTATGGTCATATTTTATGGCTAATCTTTCTGTAGGTTTTGCCCGATAATTTCGTTTTTCTTTTATATTTGTTTATCAAAATTTTGTACAAAAAGAAGCAAATCTAGATAGTGCGATCAACGATCCGCCACATCAAAGATGGCAATGGCAAACCGCAGATGGTAAACCACCTTCTGTAGACTTGCCTAGAACTTCTCAACCAATGACTAAAGATTACAAGAAGACGTAACGCTCATATAGTGGCTGGAGCAAAATTTGTGATGTTAGACGCCAATTTTTTGGTGACAACGGATGTGTGCCAGTGCCAGTGACGATTTTAGCGATTATTACTAGTTTGTTGAGTGTAGTAAGCTTTGAATAAACTTTATTACAATGGTGATTTGTTCAGCTGTCAAGTGTAAAAGTCGCAACGATAAGGAAGAGCTAGGATTTACGTTTAAAGTAGTTAATTTTCTGCACTCAAGAATCTATAAATTATATTTATATAAAGTCATTCTATCATAGTAGAATGTTTAGGAGGGGTGTTAATCACCGCGACCTTACAGATCTATTGTGTGTTCCCCTTTCTTGAGTTATAACGAGTTATAACTCATCATACTCCATCCTCGACATCAGCCGTACCAAAGTTCATGGCACAAACAGTCGTCGTCTCGGCGCACTCAGTGATAAGGTGTTCTGGTGTTTCCCATTTCTCCCACAGAATCTGAATTTGCCGTTGTTCCTCAGCCACTGAGGTGTTCGTTAACTAGACAGTGTTCTGTTAGAAAGCCCGTGACAAACCAAAGATTATTTTTATTTAAATCAAGGAAAATCTTTGATTTTTCTCGGTCGTAAGTACTGAGGAACTTTTTTGAGTGTCTTCGACCGTTGGAGGACTTCCATTCCAGGTTACGGCTGGAGTCTTCCAAATTCTTCTCTTCCACTTGGAAACTTTAGTTACTTATATAACTATAATTAAACTTATATATAATATAATTATAATTAAAAATATACTTATATAATTATAATTAAACAACTTAAAAACAAAAATAAACAACTTATTTAAAAATTCATATACATATAATCAACAACTTATTAAAAAAAATTTCATGTTAAATATTTCATGTTTATTTTTTATCACAATATCATTAGTACATACATCATTAAAAATAGAATAGTAAATTCAGTATAAACTTATCTTAGTATTTCATATATTGCATTCTTAGGAATATTGTAAAATCTTTAAAAAATATACTATACCGCTTAAAATTTTCTTTTCAAATAAGGCTTAGATATAATGTAATTCGCTTAATCAAAATGTCGGTTTTTTTCTTAGTACTTCGATAGAGGTAAATTGCGCACAAAAATTATTGCAAAATTTATTATTTAGCTATATATTTTTAAACGTCGCTAATGTTCTAGGCTTTAACATAGTGTTTCTAAAGCTGTTGCAAAATACCTACATGCTGTAATTTATCAGAGACGGCAAGTAGCAGGCAGACCTAATTTTGTCGTTCTTGTAGATATCCGTTTTTTGTCACTGCTAAGTAATTGCAGCAAGACCTGCGAAGAGACGTATCCTAATTAGCACCAGGAATCAAGGTATTCCTGTTAACTAGGCACCAACGGAGTGAGCAATTCCAATTGTTAGAAATCATACTGAATAAGGGGCGTTTGGGCAAATTTACTTTTTACTGAAGAATCATATTGCTTATACCTATAGCTTTGATCGTCTTATTTCAGTGTATTGACGTGATAACGATTTGATAATATTTCTAGCGACTTTACTAGCGAGCTAGAAAAGGTACATTTTTACTCCGAATAGAACACTCGGTGCATTTTATACAAGGGGAGTCTCATTTGGGTTAAAAAGGTACATGTACTGCCAAAACAACATTTTACTGTCAAGCGATTGTCAATGACTGCGAAATAAACTCATATACATATAACTAAAATATACTCAGCCTAATCTCCAAAAAGTGAAGCCCAAACTCATCCTCCTTCCTATTACTCTATAAGAGTATGGTGACATTATGATATCGGATTTATTGTGTCAATCAATGTTGTTCTGTCTTGCGCAGCAGTACTGGCCTCGTGCAGACTATGACCTATTATTGTCTTCATTTGGTCCACCCAACGGTTTGGAGATCTCCCTCTAGGACGTTTCCCGTTCACTTTTCCCTCCACAATTAGTTTTTCTAGGCCATTGGTGTTCCTGGATGTGTGGCCAAAGTATCTTAAGTATGACTGATTTATTGATATCGACAGTCTAGATTTGATATTCGGTTGTTCTAGTATTGAAATATGTGTACGGTGAGCTGTGTACGGTATTCGCAGCATCCGTCTATAACACCACATTTCAAAAGCATCGATTTTACGTTTCATTGCCAACTTTAATGTCCAGGTCTCTGAGGCATAAGTGGCAATGGGGAAAATTAGGGCTCTTATTAGTCTGAGTTTGTTGCTAATTGAAATGGCTGAATTTTTCCATATTTTATTGAGTTTGGTTATGGAATTACGTGCTATACACAGTCTTCTCTTGATTTCTGCGTTCTTGAAGCCCAAACAGTAAAAGAGAAATATGGAATTCTGCGTAAGTCTATTTCACTCGGATATTCATATAACTGCACATGCCTTACCTTAAGAAGTTTTCATTGGTCGATGTTTTTAAAGGGAAGTGGTTGACTGACATTTCACCTAACCTTCAATTTTATTTATATTTTTATTATTTATAACACATTATCACGGAGTTGGAAAAATATTAAAAAATAGTTGGAAACAATAAACTAAACAAAATCACTCTTTTACGTGAACAAATAAAAAATAATCCGAACAGAACTAAAACATCAGTCAATTGGAGTTTGGCGCAATCGCAGTTCAATCGATATTCGGGTGAAATAGACTTATGCATGCAGTATTAACATGGAGCTGGGTTATGTTGTCTTTCTCTTACGACACAGAAACTGCACACGGGGTTAAATAGGGAACCCTGAGTATATTTTAGTTTATGTATATGAGAAAACTGCCTGTGTCTGCAATATAATTATAATCCTCCTGCCATAAGATTGATGGCAATGACTGCCAGCGACTGCCAAGAAAATGGACATATAATTCCAATAGTGAGACACATCTCGATTTGACACTTAACGTTAAATAAAAATAAAAACACTAAATCACCACAATACACCAAAACACTTTTACTTTTACACTGGACGCGCGTTCCGCTAACCATGTTAGCATCATCAGCAGATGATTATAAACTAAAGTACAATCTACAAGTTGAGCATTTATATACTCGCCCAGTGGGCACCGAGTGGGCGTGGCAAAATCTAGCCAACCGAGTCAGAACCCACTGAGCGTAACAGTTAGATTTCCGCCACTAGAGTAGTAGGAACAAAGAACTTGAAGGAATTGGACCGTTGTCTCTGTTCATACTATCTTTACATTTATTAATTCTGATGCTTTCATATGCATCTAATTGCCTGTAATTTGAGACTTGTTTAATTAATTTTAAATTATTAAGATCTATATAATGTTCTTTATCAACAATATGTTCGGCAACGCAAGATTTGTCCGGTCTACCATATCTTATCTGAGCTAAATGTTCTTTAAATCTAGTTAATATTGATCTTCTAGTTTGCCCAACATATTTCTGATTACAATCTTTACAAGAAATTTCATAAATACCCGACCTTTCCAGTGGAGGTGTTTTATCCTTTGGATTACCTAATAATTGTTGTAATTTATTATTAGCACTATACACAAGTTTATAATTGACATTCTTAAAAATTCCTTTTAGACCACGGGATAACTCTCTATCAAACGGTATCGAAAAATATTTAGATGTATCTTTCTCCACTTGAAAAGTCGAATTTTCAGAAATCATTAACCTATACCTACGTTTTCTAATTAATTTATCAACTAGTGAAGGAGAATATCCATTACACTCAGCTACATTCCTAATGTAATCTCTTTCTATTTCATATCTTTCGTTGGAAAGTGGGAAAACTAAGTAATCTATGAACTAAGAAATTTAAACCAGCCATTTTATGTTCAACACTATGATGTGATTCATTAGGAATATATCTGCGTGGGGTCGTATTTTTTCTATAGATATCAAATTCCAGGCAATTATTAGCATTTCTAATAACTA